TTAAGCTCAGTACTAGATTGGTGGCAAGGTGTCATCCTTTTACAGTTAAAATGGCAAGATGTAAACGCAAGTTCTATGCTGACAGTTTCTTCTGTCGCACTTCTCACTTGTAGAATTTTCTTCCGGCTTCTGACTTCCTAGTAAAGTTTGATCTTCAATACTTTAAATGCAATGTCAATCGTTATCTCCTGTCTTTATTCTCTGTTTAATAGTATATTTTTCTCATATTTTCTAACACTCAGTAACCCCTTGCAGCTTAGTGACTTTATTGTCTTGCTCGTGGTAAAATGATTAAAAAAAGGACACCACATTACATATTATAGTTTACTTCCGCGGAAAATCTCTAATCGTTTACAGAAGCAGGAAAAAATAGTATGTTCATCACGATTATTATTATTATTATTATTATTATTATTATTACATCCGGCGAGGATTAGTAATTATGTAGCTGGTGCTATAACCAAGATAGACCTTGATTGTTCTCTGAATAAACTTTAGTACGGATACTTCACTCGCAATCACTAATATTAGGATAATATTAAAATGCACGTACATCCATTCTGTAGCTATACATATTAAAATATTTAATTATATAAAAGCGAATTAATAAATGTAAAAGTAAAATTTATTTATATATATTTGTAGATAGAAAATGTATGACATATTTATTTATCTGAATGTTAGTTCATGTTTCGGGTGTTTATTTCTCTTCATCAGAAATACAATTATAATTTTCAAGTTCAAATGTTACTGTACAATCCAGTCGTAAGTTTTTTGTCTGAATTTCTGTGATGAGGAGTTATTATTTACACTGTTCCGGATGAGCAATAACTGAACAGTACGAAAAATAAAGACTAGACAATATCCTTAGACATGCGCATTGGGACGGGAACAGCCTACCTGGAAAATTAAATAAAGGGTTCAGTTAAAGAAAATGTGTGTGTGTGTATGTGTGTGTGTGTGTGTGTGGAGAAGCAGAAAGGGTGTAAACAAGTGACAAAATGGAAGCACTAATTAACGCAAGAAGGAACTACTTCAAAATAAAAATTATTTTATCGACGGATTCAGATCGAACGCTGGGTGGGGGAATATAACAAACGCCGATTACAGTTTTAGATCTAAAACGTTAAAGATACAGAGTTAGTGAGCTCTGGTATGTTTAGATGTCAATAATCTTTCCATTGGTATTATCTTTAATTATTTCAATGCATAATTTTGTAAGTTTTACTATTTCGTAATTCACTTACAAACAATTAGTCCGATGCTTAGATTTACACACACACACACACACACACATATATATATATATATATATATATGTGTGTGTGTGTGTGTGTGTGTCTATATGTATATATATTTATGTATGTGTATATACATATATTTATGTATGTATAACCAAGCCTTGTGAGTGAAATTGGGTAGACGGAAATTTTGGGGTTGGTCGATAGCTGTGCTAGCACGAAGCAACAAGCCATTGTGGCCGAGGGTTTGAGCGTGCTGGCCTTGATCAGATTGTTGATACCGTTAGATAACACTCTTTCCCAGAAACTGTAACTAAAGTCTGTTCAGCATAGTTGCAGTATAAACCACAGGTGGATTCTGTGAATGTTGAGAAAACACAAAATGTGCCTGAGCGAGAGTCTGCAATAGGGATTGGCTAGCCGCTCTAGTAGACGAGTATCCTCGAATACGAGTGGTATATGTATATATATATATATATATATATATATATATATGACATCAATTTGGTTTGCTTTGTGTAACGGCATATAAACTTCTTATGGGTCATTTAATGCCGAAACTTATTTTTTTTTTGTTTTACTATTAATATCTATTCCCTGAATTTTTTTACTATAAGAATGTATTCCTATACTTACATAGTGTTTTGACCCCGGTTTGGTGGTTCATTAATTACCCCTAGATGGGACTCTGACCTGTGTAAACACCCCGGGTCAGGGTGGACCTGGGAACAACAGCAATTAAGAGGTTCTTCCATTCTCCTCAAAACCTCCTGATCAGAGGCCTTGCTGCCGGATGTACTTTATCGTCATACCCAGGACAGATACAAACATCAAAACACACCATATATTTACCGAGCTAGCTAGATAGATCCAAAAATGATTAGATAGATAGATAGATAGATAGATAGATAGATAGATAGATAGATAGATAGATAGATTCAAAAATGATTAGATAGATGGTTCTAAAAAGGATTACATAGATAGATAGATAGATAGATAGATAGATAGATAGATAGATCCAAAACGGATTATATAAAGAGGTAGATGGATCAGATAGATAGATCCAGAATAGATTAGATAGATAGACAGACCCGAAAAGGATTAGATAGATAGATAGATAGATAGATAGATAGATAGATAGATAGATAGATAGATAGATCCAAAGAGGATTAGACATAGACATGGTTTCAAAAAGGATTAGCTAGCTAGCTAGCTAGCTAGATAGATAGATAGATATTAGCTGAACGTGACAACGAAACATGCGTGTGTCGTATCATTTCATACGCACACATACATTCATATAGTGATATGTGTCGAAGAATTACCTAACATTTGAATGAATTTAATGTTACACAATCTGTAAAATTACATCGTCTTCCGTATATTTCCGGATATTTCGGAATTCACGAAAAAAAAAAAATGATCCTTATTTCCTATCATATTTTTTTCTTTCTTTAAGGGTGAGCTATTTCGCGCCCTAAGTTCCCTGAACTTTAGGCGAACGCCGCGTCTATGCAACTGGACTGTCAAATGATATCTTGAAGACCCAAATAAACATGCGCATTTCTATCAACCGACATACTTAGATTTCATTGCCACAATTGTACTTTTCTACTTCGTTTTAAAAGCAGTAAAAACTCTATCTTCTTTCTTCCTTTTCGCCTTTTTTTTTTTTGCATTCTCCTTTCTTCCTTTTGCCTTTCTTTTGTTGTTTTTTTCTTTTCTCCTTTCTTTTCTCTTTTTCTCCTTTTTCTTTTCCCCTTTCTTATGATGGCCTTTCTTTTCCCTTTTCTTCTTTCCCCCTTTCTACTTTTCTCCTTTCTATTTTTCTCCTTTTCTCTTTTACTCTTTCTTCTTTTCCCCTTTCTTCTTTTAGCCTTTCTTTATTTCCCCCTTCGTCTTTTCCCCTTTCGTCTTTTCCCCTTTCTTCTTTTCCCTTTTCTTCTTTTCCTCTTTCTCCTTTTCCCTTTTCTTCTTTCCCCCTTTCTTCTTTTCGTCTTTCTTCTTTTCTTCTTTCTTCTTTTCGATTTTCTTCTTTTCCCCTTTCTTCTTTTCCCTTTTCTTCTTTCCCTCTTTCTTCTTTTCGTCTTTCTTTTTTCCCCTTTCTTCTTTTCGTCTTTCTTCTTTTCTTCTTTTCGCTTTTCTTCTTTACCTTTTTTTTCTTTTCGTCTTTCTTATCATTCTTCTTCTTGGTATGTGCTAGAAACACTATATTATGTTAGGAGTCTTTTTGATTCTTTTTTTTTTTCTTTCTTTCTTCAAACACTAACAATTTCTTTCCTCTTTCAATTATGTATTTCGCTGTGTGTGTAAAATATTGTCTCAAATATTCAGGAAATCCTAACAGCGCGCGCGAAACGAATGTTCTTTCTCGTGGAATCTGGTAAAATCTGACTTGGCCATTTCATGCATGTACCAGAAGATGTCATTGAAAGAAAGAATGGAAACTGACAAGTAATATTTTAACTAAAACATTTTACCTATAATCGAATTGAAACACTTTTGTGTAGAACATAATCCACACACACACACATAGATAGATGATGGTGGTAAAAAGTTGCACTAACAACGACATTTGTGTTTCACTGACCAAATATGAGAGCAGCATACACATAGATAGAGTTGGGCACCTCGAGGTGTTGTAATGGTTAGCAAGCTTGTCTCCATACTTTCGGCCTTGTGCCACATCTGAGCTACGCTTGGAAAATCAGTACACATAGATAGAGTTACCCCTTGGGAATGGGTGTATATATATATATATATATATATATATATATATAATTATCAAAGCTAAAGAATGTATGGAGTGAATTTAGAAATCAACACTTCCTAGTTAATGTCAGTTCAAAACAATCTTCTCAGAACAAGTTTAAGTTTGTAGTATATATATATATATATAACCACACTGATGAGCTGTGATACAGCGAAAAAGTCTGTCTGTTGATGACAATATATATATATATATATATATATATATATATATATATATATATATATATATATATATATATATATATATATATATATATATATATATATATATATATATATATATATATATATATGTAATGGTTATGCTTGTCTCGCTAGAACAAACAATTACGAATGAGTAGTGAGTTCGATCCTTGTGCCACATCTAAGCTACGCTCAGAAAATCGCTACTAGTTTTCCCAAGACCTTGTGTATGAGTTTGTATTTCACAAGATGCAGAAGAATTTAAAGAAAATTGTGTACATATATGCGTTTATGCGTAAATATATAATAGATAACAATATGCTCAAAATCACACACACACATATATATATATATATATGTTTATGTATATATCAATGTCATTTTACAGCGAACTCCTATTTCACTTTCGAATTTAGCACTCGTCATTTTTTATTTTATATTTATTTAATTGTTATTTTTTTTATTTTTGAAATACAAGGAAAATTTGACTGAGAGAAAACATGAACAAACCGCACATTCGCTAACGGAATCGTAAAATCATTGTCTTTACTTAACAACAGATAAGTCAGATTGTGTGAAATTCTACTGGAAATAAAACGAAAATTCTCTTGTCTATTTACACGGAAACTACAACGGGTACAGGGAAGGCGATAATACCGTCTAATGAATTAATCTCTCTCGCTCTTTCTTTTTATATATATATATATATATATATATATATATATATATATATATATATATATTCACCACCAGAGGAGGCGACCTATATTTTAATGCAGTGCACTAGTGCCCCTGCTAAAATTCATTACTAGCCGCCCTACTGTGCTCATATCCATTGTTTGGTCTCCGTAAACGTTCCGCTAGCTTCGGTGAATATCAATGGGTGCCAATTCGTCGCACCTCTGCTTCGTACGCATATATATGTCAGGCGCCATCTTTTTGAGAATAATGCTCAGCTGCTGCGTGTAGCAATGCAAAGAAGAAAAAAGTAGGTGTTATTGGCGGGGAGTGCATGTGTGTGTGTGTGTGTGTGTGTGTGTGTGCGTGCACGCGCGTGCGCTCCCGTGTGGATGTTTATATGTCTAATAATCAATTGGAACTGACTGTGTGCGCATGTACAAAATTACGTTAGACTAGCAAATGCATATATTCTGTATCAGCATATTTTCAATCATTTATACGGACTTTTCACAATTTGAATTTAAATGAATCATCCAAAATAGGCTTATGGATTTTAATTTTTCACACGGACTCTAACTGTAGGATCAAACTTTATTGATTTGACGTTTCAGATATTTCTGCATTTCTCTTTAATAACAATATCCATCTGTAGAACAGCATTTCTACTGCCTCAAAAGAAAAAAAAACTCTCACTATATTCATATATATACGGCAATGCACAATGAGTAGACAAATATGGGAAATTTTAACCTTTTCATGTATAACATTTTCAAAATATTAGGCTAATCATTTTCATGCATATTAACCAAGAACTGGTTACCAGGTATTCTTCTTATTCTATGTGCAGTGTCCCTTAAGGCTGTTGGCGAACATGGCTCCCCACAATTTCTTTTTCTTTATAATTTTTAGTAGATTTTGTATTTTTATCTCTCGCAACTCCCTGTTCTGGTATCTATTTACACAAGCTCGTTCCTCTGTCCATCTTGTCTTCAATGTCTTGTGAGTGTTAAATTTTCCAAGCTCTCTTTCCTCATTATGTGCCCTAAAATGTTCATCTGATAAGTATAAGCGTCCTTTTTGTTTCCATTTGCGCTAAAACATTGTCAATGCTCACATGTTCATGTACAGGGTGCGATGGATAAATTCTCGTCTAAGTTACGCAAAAATGAAAATAACACTGACGTCTCGTTTTAACAGACACATTTACCGAAATTACACAAAAATATCTTGGAATACGAAAGAGTACATTTATTCAATAAAATCGCCGTTGGCTTCAACCCCGACCTCCAGACCACTTCGCAAACTCATGCAACTCTGTATTCTCATGCTTGTGTGGCATGGTGCAGAGTCTTGTTGCCAGGCATAGGATCTTCCAACAGCCCCCCTTTTAACACTACCTCCTCAAGGCACTTGATATCGGCCTCCGTGTTGAGTCTGAGGTCCTGTGGGAAGATGAATGGTGGCCTAACGTTGCCATCACTAGTGACCACTCCAAACACCATTGTAATCACTATTAGACTCATCCAACTCTCTCTCTCTCTGAATCCTCTGCACTGTCCTCAGATTGACACCCAAGCCCATTATTCGTATTGGAGCTTTCACTGCGAATGTCATAAAAATACAACATGCCGTTTCCAAATTTATGGCGGGATGAATTACGTCATAATGCTCTTTTTTTCAGAGACGGTACCCAACTGACCCTACTATACTCTGCAGTCGACAAAATCAGGAACAAACAACGCGCATGCACGAAATTAAAAATATAAAATGGCGACAATTTACCCATCGTGCCCTGTATGTCAATACCCTCATTCAGATAAGATCAGAAGCCCTGAAAAACATGCTTCCTCATCGTCTTCCTTCATAAAAATAATAATTATTATTATTATTTTTATTTTTATTTTTATTATTATCATCTTTTTTATATAACCACATTTCTGTTGCTTCAAGTCTCTTTTTCATCTTTGATGACATTGTCCAGTATTTACTTCCATATAGATCGCTTTTCGTTAGCAGTTCAGCACTCTTTTCTTTTTGCCTAACAAGATTTTCTCGTATCTTAATACTTTGCTTAACATTTGGAAGGCGTCTTTTTGCTATTCCAATGCGCCTTCAGATTTCGTGGTGGCATTTTCCATCCTCTGTTAAATCATTTGCAAGATTTTAAACTTCTGTACATGGTTAAGTATAATTTTGAAAATGTTTAGAACTCTTTTCATCGTCATAAAGAAAATTCTTTTTGCTTTCCATCAACATGAATAACGCTAACCTCTAGGAGAGTAACTCGGTTTAACGTTTTTCCACTGATATGAAGTGAAAAGATTGTGGAATCAATTCCTTGGTTTACTGTAGTCGTTCTAGACAATTTTCATCGCCAGTTTATCTTAAACCTTTATAAATCTGCCTTTCATCCTTTCATTGAATATTGTTGTCACATTTGGGCTAGTGCTTCTGCTAAATATCTAGAGATTCTTAGCAAAATAAAAAAGAAGAATCTACAATGTTATTGGTCCTGATTTGGTATCTTCACTTCAGTAACTTTCCAATCGCCGTAATGTAGCTTCCCTGTGCCTTTTCTATATATATTTTCAAGGTACATGTTCTAATGAGCTTTCCTCTTTGGTGACCCGACTTTACGAATTTAAGTGCAGTATTAGATAGGCAATTAAATCTCGTCATTTTACAGTTGAAATTGCGAGATGCAACCGTATGTTCTATGCTAACGGTATCTTCTCTCGAACTTAATGCCTGTGAAATTCTATTTCAGCTTCTTGCTTTTCCAGTCAACTTCGATCTTCAAAATTTTAAATGTGATACCGGTCATCATCTTCTGTCTCCTTTAATCCTGTTTCTTTTTTTTATTGTCCGCTGTCATTAATAATGATTTTTCCCAGATTCTTTTATTCTCAGTAACAGCTTACGTCTTAGTAGATTTATCGCCTTGCTTGGGGTGAAATGATAAAATTTGCATAACAATTTTTAAATTGTTTTTATGTTGTAAACACCATTTGTTAGTAATTTATATGAAAGGTTGGTAAACAGTCATTACATGTTAATTTTTTTAATCTCAGTTGGAGGCATGACCGAAAAGCCACTAAGGCACAAGGTTTTACAGGGTGCAAAAGAATTACTAACAGAAACATTAATAATGTGCGGAAAGAGAAAAGAGTAATCATGAAGACAGTAGATAGCGATTGAAATTGCATTTAATTTTTTTCAGGAACGGAGTTCCACAAGCGAGAAGTTCTAGAAAAGAAACTGTTAGCATAGAATTTACGATTACATCTAGCCAGCTCAACTATAAATTGATGAGTTCTCGATGACAGTCTAATTCTTTGCTTAAAATTCATAAAGTCTAAGTATCATACCGAAGAACTCACCCGAAAAATTACCATGAAAGTATTTAAGAATCGCAGTTGCTGTATCATACGTACTGACGATAATGGGTATGCCCCTATTCACATAGATACAGTAGTAAATACTGTATGTTCGTCTGCGGTTGAAGAGTCGTCTTCAGCTGATGTGATTAAGCTCTCTGCCTCCGGGCAGAGAGCATTCTTGGACGGGGTTATGTTGTTGCCATGTTGTTTTCAAACCATCAATCAAGTGGGGTAATCGTCAATTGAGTAGATTCCAGCAGGTCTCTCATCACTCCCTAGAGGACACACGCGATATCG